TGAAGGGTCTAGGCCCGAAACGTCAGCCTTCCTGCTCCTATGATGCTGCTTGGCCTGCTGTGTTCATCCAGCTCTACACCTTGTTATCTCAGATTTTCCAGCATCTGCAGCTCCTACTACTTTGTTGGGTGCTTTCTGCAGAGAAAGGGCATATTCTGCTTTGTGCCATGTTAACTTAAAAAGATGCGAGTCAGCAAATTCCCACCCGGCACATGCTTATGATACAGTCTCCTGACATAGAATGCTGCGTCCAGGGAATTGCCAAGTGTTGTGATTTATTTAAAAAATTTGTTTTGGGTCAGCAAATTGGCTGTGGTGTTTTACTGAAATGTAAATGAACAGATTCCACAAAAAGCAATCATGTTGAAGGCTATAAATTCAAACACTCATTGTTGAAATTATTTTTGAGTTGTTCCAGTAATTGTTGTGATATAAATACATGAATATATATTTCAAAAATAACTCAACAGAGCCAGTAAAATTGAATATTTTCCCTTATGATCACTAAACGTAACCATTCAGTTGCCATTCTAGTATTACTGTTCCTCTGTGGAGGGTTATCAATGGCTTCAAGTGTTCAGAATCAGTGATTTCTGTTTGTCTAATGCTTTGCTTCAGTTCTGTTTATTGATCCTTCCCTTCTACAGAGTCCCAATCATGCATGTGCTGGGTCTCTTTTCTTTTTGGTGCAATTTATGACAACCCTGTCTATGTTTTCCTTTCTCTGCATTCCGTTGAGCATTTCTGATCTCCTAGTATTAAATAATAATCATAATTTCATTACAAGCTGTTAAATTACCACTTAATCATCTGTATAACATATTTTTCTTATTGGTTTCATTTTACAGTGGGTAGGAGCTAAACAACATGAATTGCAGGTGAATTCTATGCAGCTGTTATACTACCAGGCCCCAATGTCGTCTATCATTCTGATGTTCACTGTTCCTTTTTTTGAACCAGTGACTGGAGAGGGAAGCATCTTTGGAAACTGGTCTACTACAGCATTGGTAAGATTCTGAAATAGTTGTGTTATTCTTGCAAATTTTAATATTTGGGACAGTAAGTTGTATTCCAGTCTTCTCATTATCATCCCTGTCATGCTGTCCACACAGAAACTAGATAATAAAGTTCTGTGTTCTTTTTATCTAACAGTGTACCTTAATGCTGACTGCCATTTTGTTGTATCAAGGTGAAAATTATAATTTCATCTACCAGTCTTTCTTGTTAACTCTGAATGAAATAGCTATTTTGGTAAAAGTTTTGTTATTTGTGCACTTTTTTCAATTCTGTTCTGCAACTGTCTGGATTATGAATTGTTTATTAGCAGACAGTGAGATCGCTAAATGAACAAGTGTGTTTTCATACTAAACAAGGTGTAAGATCAATTTTGGCTTGAGGTAAAACTTTTTTAATTCATTCATTGGATTTGGGTGTCTCTGACAAAGTCAGCATCTAATTACTCTTTAAAAGATAGTAGTGAGCTGCTGCCTTAAACCATTGTTTTCCATGTTGTGTAGGTACTGTACAGTGCTAATAGAGAGGCAGTTCGGGAACTTTACCCAGTGAACACCAAGGAATGTGATATAATTCCATGTCAGGATGGTGTTGAACTTTAGGAGGGTGGTTTTGCTAAGTGCATGCTTTACTTGTCCTTCAAGACATAGTGGTCATGAGTTTAGAATATGCAGTCAATGAAGCCTTGACTGATTATTGTAGTGCACTGTGCATATAATACACAGTGCAGACTTGATGCCAGACAAGCACGCCTTGGATAGTATTGAGCTTCTTGAGTGTTACCGGAGCTGACTTCATCCAGACAGCTCAGAGAAGTCCATCAACACCTGGTTTAAGTAGAGGGAGCAGAAGAATAAGAACCTGAGACATAAGATCCTTATTTAAAAACAATTGCTTGCAGAACTGAACTTTTTTGTAATTTAGAAAAAATAAACAAAATTTGAGGGGAGTATGATTCCAGCCTTTACAATAAAGGGGAAACACATAGATGGCAGCAAAGCATTGGGAAGTCAGGAGGTGAGGTTTACTTGCACAGACGAAACACAGGCTGTTTTTGCATGTTTAATCTTTGAAGCTACTGAACAAGTCCTGGCAATTTGCTAATCACTCCAGTGTCATTTTTCTTATAAAATTAAGAATAATGGGAGGCTTTTGACACTGCAGAATACTAACTGTATGCAAAATTCATATATTCAATTCCTAGTTCCAGCCTTTATGCCAAAGTGCTACACCATCCAGAGGAAGTAGCATATCGGATGGGTTCAAATGTAGCTGGCTCCCTCCAACTAGGAATTATTTGCCTTGTATTGTCAGTTTTGTAATTTTTAACTTTAAATCCAAGTATGCTTTTATTAACAGGATATGTTGAAGTACATAAAGTACATATGAGAAATAGTGGGTAATAATGAACATGCATTATTTTCTTATCTGTTTTATAATTTAAAAGCATTAAACACAATGTAAGTTTTATCTTTTATAGATGATGGTGTTGCTTTCTGGAATTATTGCCTTTCTGGTGAATTTGTCAATTTACTGGATTATTGGAAATACCTCACCTGTCACGTATCCTTCTGCATTTGGTATTGCTTTCAAGTCGTGACCATTTAATATATTGTTACAATTGCAAAGAACAGATTTTTCTTTTTCACATCTGGCTTAACCCAATTTTATTTAAATTTGGGTTGCTTTGCGTGGGGCAATTTTGTCTATGCCTAATATGCACACACATTTTCTTTTATTCAAGCATCTCCATAAAATAAGTTAACCAGCACTTGGAACAATTCGGTGATCTGCCCTTGGTCAATGTTGTTTGATATTTAAATTGGAATTTTTCTCCCAGCAGGAATTACCGAGCTTTCACTTGGCAATTCCCTTGTTTGATATGGCTAAGGTATGAGTTGACTGCATAAGGAATTATTCAGAGATCTGCACTTTATACTTACATAAGCTTAGTATGTTACAGAACATTACACTGCTTATGCTTACTGTGTTTATAAATTAGTTCACTATGATGCTGTTTTGTAAATATATACCAGAGAATGATTCAGATATACAGAAGCCTCCTTATCTATTTCCTTGTCAAGGAGACCGATAGCAAACAAATGTGAACTATACAGTTGAGCAGGTACCTTTTGAGGGATTGGAAAATGATCGAAATGTGAATAAATAAATAAAAGCAGTTCATATTGGAAAAGGTGCAATGAAATGTATTTGAGGAAAAATGATCTATTGCTAAAGGTTTAAAAATGGTTTGGATGTGATTATTCACCATTCACTGAAATTTATGATAGATGTTAATCTGTTGATTTATCAAATCATAGGCTACATTTCACAGGCTAAGATGAAATAAGTTTTGGGGGCTAAGCTGAAATAAGTTTTAAGTTAAACTATCTTTGAAGCTACATTTGAAGGTTACTGCCCAATTTTGAAACAATGTTAAAGAGGGAGCAGAGAAGAATAGGAGCCTGATTCTAAGACATTAGATTTTCATTACAACTTAAGTATTTTCCTAATTTTAAAAAAATAAAATTTGAAGGGAGCATGATTCCAGCCTTTACAATAAAGGGGAAACATGGTAATATGTATGTGAACAATTGCTGTAGCTGGGAGCAGGTGAGATTTTATGGTTACAGTTTTCCTTCAGCAAGCATATGAATTTGAGGAAGTTCTCTCATTTTGTCCCTTGTACACAAATATAATCCTGAAGTAAAATCTAGCTGGTCATTGAAGATGTACAGATTTGCAGGTAGAGTGAGATTTTAAGTTGTGCTTTGAACAATGAGGCTGTAATATGGTCTGCAATATTTCCCAAGCATCCAGTGTTCCTTCATGTGATTTCTATAATGCAGCTATCTCTGACCACTTGAATTCTTGTGCTTATATTTAACCAAACAGGATAAAATGCAGTCTTTTCTAGAGACTTGTTCCTTGACAAACTAACATTCAGATACAACATGTTTGGACATTTCAAGTTCTGCATTACCCTACTGGGAGGTTATATTTTGTTTAAAGATCCCCTTTCACTTAATCAAGGTCTGGGGATTTTGTGTACATTGTGTGGTATTTTGTTTTACACACATTTTAAACTCCGTGAACAAGAAGAAGGAAAAAACAAATTGGCTCAAAGGCCTTAGTAATTCTTCCGAGTTCTACATATTTTCTTTTCCCAAAGTGTTGCTAGTGAGCACCAATTCCTAGGTACTTGCTAAGTATGACATCTCTAAAATTGAAAGAAATGCAATTAAGTATTTCACTTTACTGCAGAAGATGTTTGCTGTTCACACATTGAAGTTTATAAATTTGACCAATTTTCATGTGCCATGTTCTGGTAATTTTTGTAATTGCTTTTAAGGAGGTTCCTTGTGATTAATATGTTATGTCAAGTTCATTCAGCTTTAAATTTGAAAGCATGTCATTATAGAATTGTCCTACATGCATAAAATTGCTGATAAGTGTTCTGAATCTTGGAAACAAAATTAGACATACAGATAATGTGAAAATTGGTTTAATCATGTATTTTCTGAAAGTGAACATTTGTAATTTACATGTGTTTTGCACATCCTGTATTATACTGGGCAATTTATTGTGGTGGGCAGAAGGAATAAAATTATTTTTTCATTGCTTTTATTACATGTTTACAACATGTGGACAAGGAAAAGAATACAGGAGTGACAAAGTTTTTTGTTTTCTGCTGTAACAGATTAGCAATTTCCAGGACCATTTTCAGTGGGTCACTATTGGGATGGTGATAGCTTCTTGCAAGTTACATTGCAAAGCAGAGCCTTAAAATGTTTCTTGCAAAGTTTTCAAAAGAAATTTTTTTCTATCTTGAAACACGAATCCAAATAATAAATGCAAATAATTGTTGTAGAAAGCATGGATCAGAATACATGTGGCTTTGTGTAACTAATATCTATGTGCAATGATCTGAATTAGCATGTTCAGTAGCGAATGGTGGCAGACAACTTAAAGCAAAAATGTTGAGGGGAGAACAGAAGGCTGTATGAATACCCCGAGACTCAATGATAAGTGGAACCTGGCATGAGTGTCAAAGACCAGACTGAAACACATGCAACTACATTCATCCACCACTTCACATTCCACCATCACAGGAACCAGCTATTGGCCAATTTCATTTGCCCACTGTAATAACAAGTAATGGTGAAGCAGGGAGAAAATGGATAAGTTTATGAGCCACATTAACATCCTGATTACAGTGCTCAAGACTTATGCTCCAGAACTAACCACACCTGTAGTTGGAATATTGACATCCGTCTGGCAAATTGGAAGATTTATCCAGGTATGCTGTGTCCACAAAAAGCAGGAAAGATCCATCTGATCATTGACAGCCTCATCAGTTTACACTCAATATCATTAATGTTATGGAAGACATCATTGCAATGTGCTATCAAAAGTGGTTACCAGTAACATACTTCTGTGGTACCATCAGAACCACTCAGCGTTCTGATCTCACTACAGCTTTGGTCCAAACTTGGATAGAAGTACTAAATTCTGGGGTTGAGATTAAAAAATGACAGCACTTGTCATGGCTGCATCTGACAGAATTTGGCTGTTTTATTATTCACTCTTGGGATGTGAATTTTGCTGGCTAGGCCAGTTATCGCCTGTTCCTCATTGCCTTGATAAGGTGATGGTAAGTTGCATTCTTGAACTGCTACAGCATGTGCTGTATGTAGACCCACAATGCCATTAAAGAGGAAATTCCAGGATTCTGACCCACTGACAGTGAAGGAACTGTGATGTATTTCCAAGTCAGGATGGTGAGTGGCTTGGAGGGAATTTTACAAATGATGATGTTTTAATGTATCTGCTGCCCTGCCTGTCAAGATGGCATTGGTTGTGGGCCTGAAGTAGCTTTGGTGAATTTCTGCAGTGCATCTTGTAGATGTTACATGCTGCTACCACCAAGCATTAGTGATAGAGGGAGTGGATGGTGTCAAGCTGCTTTAAGTGTTGTTGGAGCTGCACCCATCCAAGGAAGTGGGGAGTATTCCATCATATTCCTGACCTGTGCCTTGTAGAGGCTTTGGGAGGTTACTTGTTGCAGTATTCTTAGCCTCTGACCTGCCCTCGTAGGTACTGTATTTTTGTGGCTAGTCCAGTTCAATTTCTGGTCAATTGTAACTGCCCAAGATGTTGATAGTGGGGGATTCAGGGATAGTAGTGCCATTGAAGATCTACGTAAAACTGAAGTCAAAAGGAATTGGGAAGAACAATAGCAAGATTCAGACCCAGTGAAACTACTTTAGCCCCAGGAAATAGCTGCAGGAGTTCTTCAGGGCAGTGTCCTAGGTCCAGCCATCTTTAGTTGTATAATCTTATGTTTAGTTCCATTTAATATTCCCCAGATAATGAAATGGTTAATTTACAATATTCTGGAGGACCTGGACCTTAATCAGGCTTAGATTGAAAAGTGGCATGTAACCCTTACATCACACAACTATCAGGTCATGACCATCTCCAACAAGAGAAAGACTAACTAACCATCTGTCTCTTGATATTTCATGTCTTGTATCATCATCAACATTCCTGAGATTTATCATTGATCAGGAACTAACTAGACCAACTAGCCAAAATTCTGTGGCTATAAGAAGAAATCAATCAGGGTATTCAGAATTAAGTGACTTGCCTCCTGACTCCAAGAAGCCTTAATATTATTAACAAGGCAGTTAGTAGCTTGACAAATTACTCTTGTCTAAATGACTGCAGTTCCAATAACACAGAGGGACGTTAATATTATCCAGGGCAAAACATTTTCACTGCTTACCACCTCATCCACCATCTTAAGTGTGCACCCCCTCTGTTGCTGACTGAAATGTGTGTCATGTACAAGGCGCACTGCAGCAACTTGCCAAGACTTCCTTGACAGCACTGCATGACTGCCCCATAGTCTGCAGCAGCTTAAGACCCTAGCACGCTAGCACTTTTTCAATGCTGATATTGTCAGTAACTCTGGAGCGGAGGCAACTGAATGGAGCCTGTTGAAGTGAATTTACAACTATATTCTTTAATATTTATAGAAAATATTTTTGTCCCACCCATTATAATTTCAGCTAAATGAGATTGTTTACAAATAGTTTTGTGAGGAATAAAATAGAATGTCAAGTATGTTTTTTGGCTCTTTCAAAAGAGAAAAGATACCTTGTAGTAACAACCAAAAAATAAGATGCTGCCAGACAGTATTTTCAGGTATAGAAAGAAAGAAACAAAATTGGGCAGAATTTTCTAGACCCGTGGGACAGACAGCACAGTTGCTGAGCTGGGGGTTGGCCCACCATGTGACAGTGAGTGTGGAGGTTGCCTCTATGAATATTATACTATTGATGTATCCAATTTTGGGAATCCATTGGTCCGGATGTTGGGATCTTGAAATCCAGGCACAAATTCAGTCCATTGTTTCAACTCTGTGACCTTTATCAGAACATTCTGTAGGAAAGATTAGCTGGCACTATTGAGAAAATCTCAAGTATAACCATTTTCAAACTGTTAATACAAGATTGATTATTTAGTATTGTTAAGTTTGGATCTTGAGTCACTGATACCTGTAGCATTACAAATCAAGAGCAGAACATTTTGAAGACTTTTTAAAGCCTCGCTCATTACAGTTAAAATTCTAAGATTTAAGCTATCATCCATATATTTAGTTTTTGTATTGTTCTTTAATACATTCTGGTTAGATGAGTTATTTTTAAATTTCGGTTTCTTTTGTCAAGAATTCCAGTAATCATCCGATTTGACTTTCACTGTATGAAGAAATCCGGTCTACAGAATTGGTTAAACATCTGTTGGTGGTTTGAGCTCTGCATGCATATTAAATCACTGGGCAATGCAAGTTGAGTTTTTGATATTACAAATGATTTTCATTCAAGGTTCCAACTTAGTTAAAATAACGTTTTTGTTTTCTTTTATTTTCATGAATGCTCTTGCTTTTTCAAACGTTTACTTTGGTTAAGTGCTATATTTTGTAATGATATAAAACCAAGGGGATGTACTGCGTTTTGTTTACAGTAGAAAAGATAATGTATGAAAACTTGACTGTATGGTGCTCAATACTTTTACCATGGTACAGTGGAATGAAAATGTGCAGGTTTACAGCTATGTCTATAAAACAGTATATTTGTATGAAGTGACTTTCATGTTTCCTTGACTTTTTTTTTCTCCTAACTTGTATTATAAGGAAAAAAAGTTGAAAAATAAACAACTATCTTTATGTGTAGCATTGTACATCTGAATTGCTATATATAATCATGGACATTTGCAAAAGAAAAGAGAAAGGTTATTGAAGAGATTAAAGTGGAAAGATGGCACACTGAATCAGAATCCTAAATCAGGTACAAAACCAAGGTCTTCACCGTCACCAGTATTAGGATAAGGCCTGAAATTTCCTTCAGCTTTTTTCTCCATGGACTCATAAGTATATTGGAGATTCCAACAGTCAGTTTGCAACTTGTACAAAACCAGTACACAATTCTACATTTCTGATCATTTCAGTTCTTACATAGAAGAATTGACTAGGTGACTGAACTATATAACAATTATAGTTCAGTGTTCATATTAACAAGACACTTGGCGTTAGTGTGAAAGGTAATAATGCCACCAGGAATCTGTGTCTCTGGGCAGGAATTCAGTGTGTGGACAAAAGTGTGACTTTAATGGCTGCAGTTACAATTTGTTGTTCTTCATATTCCACTTGTAGACCTAGTGATCACATTTTCCCTGGTCTGTTCTCAAGCAGTTGAAAGTTGCCCATATCTTCTGTACAGGGTTGAAACCTAGGTGATAATCAGGTTGCAGTTGGTGATATTTGAAATTAACAGGATGTTTGCCATCAAAGGGTAATCCTGTCATCAGTTTATAGGGTGTGGACTGTGTTCCAGTAGGAACTAAATAATTTGAAAAATGTACATTATGTTTTTGAGGTTCATTGTTAATTCTTTTGGTCATTAGCTGATGGTATTCTTTAAAGATGATTTCCCTGCAGCAGTAGCAGGTTCAGAGTGCTACTAGGGGAAGCCACCTGAGCCACGTTGGCCTCAATGGTCCAGAAATAGTCCTCATGCTATGCTGGAGGTGGATGTCTATAAATTTTTCTGTGCTGACTCCTGGGTCAGTTTAAGCAGCAGTAACCTGCTGTTTGGGTAAATCAGGCAAGCAAAGAAATGTTAAATGTGTTGACTAGCAGGTACCTGCCAGTTTTCATATGAGATTAATCTTGTTCTGTTGTTTTGGGGGCGTTGCCAGTAGACAACGTATAGTCAAAAGTGAGGTATTTTGGTGTTGATGTGTGGGTCAGTTGATTGCAGAAGTGTACATGAATTTCTTCCTGGTCTTTGAGTTGTTCAGGTGGAAGGTTGAATCAACAGCCTTGGCAGCATTTGGTTAGAGTCTCCAATTTCTAAAATAACTAACCGGGATCTTCAATATCCTTGTGTTCTGTAGCCTGAAAAGTCAGGGCCAAGTCTTGAGCATATGTCGAGAGGACACAAAGGAGTGATGATATTATCACTGGAGAAGTAATCGAGAACCCCAGGCTAATGCTCTAGGGACATGGGCTCAAATCTCACTAAGGATAATGGTGAAATTTGAACATAATTTGAAGAACTGACTTGACCTTGTCCTTGCCAATTAACCTATCACAGACACATTTGTGCATGAAAATAGAGGTAGAGGAGTGACCACTGCCAGTCATTGTGGAGACAAAGTCCCATCATCACATTCAAAATACTTCCATTGAGTTGTGGCATTACCACCATGCTAAATGGTTCGACTTTGAATAGATCCAGCAATTCAAAACTAAGCATCCATGCTATGATGCGAACCATGAGCAGCAGAATTGTATTCAACCACAATTTCTAATTTTATGATCTGACCTTTCCCCTGGTAGTTCTGGCTCAGAGTGCGGGAGGGCAGGCCAAATCGTACATAAGAATGTGTTGACCTTTTGAAGCTGTAACACAGGACTGTTTGTCAGATAGATGCCAAGTGATCCTGCAACCAAAGCTCCACTTCCTGCAACACCATCTCACTGTGGACAAAGAACTGAGATGAAGTCTTCACAAATATCTTCATCCTCAACAATTGGAGACCCCAGCACATCAGTGCAAAAGACCAGTCTGATGCATTTGCATTCACCTTAAGCCGAAAGTGCTGAATGATGGCTTCCTAAGGCCCCCCAGTGTATCAGAGACCTGTCTTCCACCAGTTTGATTCGCTCCATAATGATACCAAGAATTGCCAAGTCATTGGATAGTATGAAGGCAATTGTGCTGAAGCACAAGTCTACAGTACTAGATACATGTCCAGCTAAGCTGTTCCAGTATATCTACAATGCTACCATCTTTATGGCATTGTAAAATTGCCCATTATGTTCTGTCCACAAAAACAGGACAGTTCCTTTCTGACCTCATTCATGCCCAGTCAACACTCAATTGTCAGAAGAGTGATGGATAGGGTCATCAACAGTACTATAAAGTGGTACTTGCAATAACCTCCTCAGTCAGTTGATTTTCACCATCGGTATATAACTCCTATCCAATCATTTTGAGTTGCTCAAGCAATGATTATCCTTTCATCACAAGGTCAAAAGTGGCGATGTTCATTAAGGACTGCACAATGTTCAGCATCATTTACCACTTTTCATACTAAAGCAGCCTGTGTCCACATGCAGCAAGAATCAGTCAACATTCATAGTTGGGCTGGCCAGAAGAAACTAACATTGCCTGCCACTTGTGTGACCACCTTCAACGAAAGAGTCTAATCATCACCACCTGCTGTTCATCGCAAAGCCTCTAATCTGACATTAACTACATCTTGGGCGTTTCTGTTTTACCAGAAACTAGACTGGACCAACCGTCTAAATATTGTGCTAATGACAGGTCAAAGGCTAGGAATCCTGCAGCAAGAACTCACCATCTGACTTGCCAATGTCTTTCCAACAAATAAAAGGCACAATTTGGGATTATTATGAAAGATTCTCCATTTGTCTGGGTGTACAGCTCCCAGCAGGGATGAAGCTTGAAACCATTCAGGACAAGCAGCCCCTCGATAGGCACCCTATTCACCCTCTTGTGCATTTACTCCCTTCAAACACCAATACTCAGTTGCAGCAAGTGCACTACCTACAAGATAGACTGCACGAATTCAGCAGGGTGCCTCAGAGAGGGCACCCGTTTGGAAGGTGCTATCACTGAAAGGACCAAGGGTACAAATACATTCTACCTCCATAAAGTTCCCCTCCATGCTATTTTGCCTTGAAACTATATTGGAGTACACTTACTGCTGCTAGTCAACATCCTTGATCTCTTCCCAAAAAAAAAGCTTATTCCAGTTTCTGTGATTTTTCATTCCCAACAAATGAGCGTTTAATCTATTTTCTCATTCCCTTATTGATTGCACCAAATACTTCCTCAGTTATTTTTAAAAATACCAATAAAAAGGGGAGGCGCAATGGCTCACTGTTTAGTACTGCTGCCTCACGCGATCTGGGTTCAATTCCAGTCGAGTGACTCTCTGGCGAGTTTGCATGTTCTCCCAGTATCTGCATGAGTATCCGCTAAGTGTTCCAGTTTCCTCCCACAGTCCAAAGATGTACAAGTTAGATGGATTAGCAATGCAAAATTGTCCTAGTGTCCAGGGATATGCAAAGTAGGTGGATTAGTCATGGTAAATGTGGGGTTATGGGAATAGGATGGGGGCTTTGTCTAGGTGCACACCCAGAAGGTGAAAACATTCGAGTAGATGCAGAAATATGTAAACACCTTCTTGACAAAATTTTTGCCAATAGATTAAATGGACAGGGTGAAATTGATCACCGATTGGTATTGTGAAAGAAGTCCTTGTGGAGCGAGGATGTTGAGGTTACCTGGACTACCAATGGTTGTGATGAAGACAAGGAAGATCCATACAATGAAGTCATAGAAACTGGCTATGTGACAACTTATTCAGTCGTTCAGATAGCAATCAGAGTGCTGAAAATGGGAATGTATATAAGTTTGTAATGTCACAATAAATATTCGTGGACTCATTATGAATTCTTTAGTGCTACTGATTGTTGCTTTATTTCATTATGATCAAATCAATCCTGTCAGTCCCTCAAAATCATAACTCATGTAGAAGGTAACAGACTTTTGATTAAAGTATTAGTCTGTGATTTTATGTTTTCACATCTGCATGTCCTTTGCTTTTCACAATTTTGAAGCAGCATTTAGCATAATCTAATAAAGAGTTTGCTGATTACACAATTCAAGCATTGGTTGTGCAATATTTCATGCAGTACTTAATGAAAATCCTCTTGTTAGAAAATGAGTCTTATTTGAATTGTGGTTAATCTTTATAGTGGCTGACTAAATAGAAAATGTGATTAGGATTGATAAGGGATAAAATTATAGTTTGAGTCAACATTTATTAGCTGTAAAACATAGTGGTGTATTAGATACCATCAATTTTATCCATGTTATTTTTTAACGATTGAAAAAAAAAGTTGGTGTAGAAATTGATTTTAAAATCGTTAAATAAAGAAGTTTTCACAGACCAAATATTCAGTCTTGTATTATAAAATAAATGGAAACTCGTGTAATACCATCATGACTTTATAAACCAAAAAACTGTTGCACTTTGCATTGCAAATAATCTGGCACATATGCAATCTTTAATCCAACACAATGTGAATGAAATAAATATTTCACTAATCAACATCACAATTCTCTCAATGTTGTAAATGTTTTTAGAGATAACGTAAAGTCTAAATTATACTTAAGCTCATAATAAGCCATGAATAATTTTCTATGTACATATTAAATCAGTATTTAGACTTGCAAATGGCTACATTCAAAAGTACAATAGCATTAAAATATTATGCTTGCTAATTCATCAGGAAAGTTGGTAAGTTGAGCAGTTGCAAATGTAATTTCAGCAACAACACTTGAGTCCAAGAGAAGTCAGATTTCTATTAGAAAAGCATTGACCAGTCAGTTCTAGAACTAGAAATCTAAGTTGTACAGCAGGCTGTCAAAATAGTATTTATGTCCACGTGGTCCGTGGAAGGAGCATTAAAATCAATTTGTAATGGATAGATTTATCATGCAATGATCACAATAATCATAAACTTCATTTTAATTTCTTAGCAGTTCAGTGAGGTAGTATTACAATAAAAAAACAAGTTGCACTTAGTTATTACAAAAAACAGTTTTAGTACTTTATTACTACTAACTTGCTGTGTCCCTTCTCTGTAATTATATTGGATTGTAAACAAATTTGACTATTAGTTTTAACTTAAGTAACATGCTTTGACATTTACTCTCTTGAAATGGATAGAAGAACCCACATAATGCAAAGATAACACAATAACCAGGTTATCATCGACATCTCATTTACATTGTGTGAAAGGGTGAAAATCTCAGTTCATAAGAGAGATTGATACGCCCGTGAAAACTATTTTTGCTTTGGACACACAACTGAACTCTCATGCTCTGCAAAATTGTAACTAAAATGATATAAATACCGTTTGCAGACCAAGAGCATCTGTGAAGTTTAAAAGTAATTATCGGAAACAAAAAAAGATCAACCTCAGCCGATAAACAGATAACCAAAACTGACTCATCTAAAAAGCAGAGAATCAAGCTTGAGTACACTGGTTAGAAATATTTAAATTGGGAATCTAAAAAATTAGCTCAAGAAGAGCATTAATGCAAGTACAAAGACTGAAGAAAAAGACCTTTCACTATCAACAGCCTAGAAGTTACCAATGCCCAGATACTTAACTGAACCAGCTGTAAAAAAAAAGTGGTTACAATAGCAGTCAAGGGTTGGAAATTCTGCGCTAAGTAACTCATCTTCTGACTCACAATAGTCTGTTACTCATGTAAAAGGCACAAATCAGTGTGATGGAATACATCTTCACTCCCTTGGATGAGCAAGTCTCTAACAGTCAAGATCAACACCATTTAAAGAAAAACTTCACTGACACTCAATCTGCTATGTTAAATATTCATTCACCCCACCATTGATGCAGTGCAGTGCATCAAAATCAAGATACACTGCAGCACTTGCCAACATACCTTTGACTGCACTTCCAAATTCACAACCTTGAATGCTTAGAAGAAAATTGACTAAAAAATGCATGGGTACACCACCACCATTTCCCAGCTACTGTGGAACTGATTTGCAGCATTTTTTTTGTGTTTTATTTCAGGTTTCCAGTATCTACAGTATTTTACCTTTGAGCTGGGGCCCACTTAGTGAATATATTTTTCAGATTTTATGGAAGGATTACAGAAATATTGCCAATATATACACATGTGCAAGCAATTCAGCCGGGCCCATTCTGTAATTCTGTTAAACCATATTTCATTTGTACCTCAATTCTATTTACCTGCCTTTACTTCATATATCATGTTCACTCCTTAGTTTTATTTAAACTGACTGACCGAATCCCTATTGAAGTTTATGTTAATCCAGCAAAAAGGCCTGGCTTCAAGTCCCACCTGTTCCAGAGTATGTCATAACAAGCCTGAACAGGTTGATTAAGAAATAACTATGAAGGCAGAGTTGGCTGAACTGAACTGGGAAAACAGATCAAAATATATGATAGTAGAGATTTAAGACTTCTAATAACTCTCAGTAAAGATTTATCCTAGTGAGAAAGCAAGAGACATCATCTGTGGCTATTTGAGGAAGTTAAGGATTACGTCAAATCGAAAGAAAAACTGTACAAATCTGTAAAGATCAAAAGATTGCTAGTTCTTAAAAGATGACCAAAGTATAGCTTAAAAAATGAGTATGAGAAAAAGCTAGCCTGTAATATATAAACAAAAGGTAAGAGTTTCTACATGTACTTAAAAGGAAGAGAGTTACTATAACTACTGTTCTTTCTCTGGAAAGTTAGGTGAATTTAATAGATACTTTGTGTCTGTCTTCACTGTAGAAGACAAAGTTTCCGAAAGATACTAACACAAAGAAAGGGAGGGAAGGCATCAAAACAATCAACATCACCAGGAAAAATGTGGTGGGAAAACTATTGGGATTTAAAGCCTGGTTAATACCCCAGACCAGATGGCCTCCATCCTAAGGTCTTAAAAGAAGTGCCTGCAAAGGTAGTTAAGGTATTTATGATCTTCCAAAATTCCCAAAATTCAGAAAGGAAACCAAAAGGATTGCAAATTACATTAACACCTTTATACATGAAAGCAAGGAGACAGAAAGCAGGCAACTGTACACTAGTTAGCCTAACATCTGCCTTCGGGAAATTGTGAAAATCCATAATGATGAGGTTATGATTTTCTAAGTATCCAGCTATAATGTGATAAGGCAGAATCAATAAAGCTTTGTGAAAGTGATATCATATATAACTATTAGCATTTTTTGAAGAAAACAGAATGGATAAGGGGGACCCTGTAGATTTGGAGCACTTAAATTTGCAACAGGCATTTAATAAAGTTCTGCATCAAAGGTTATCCCACAAGGTAATAATCTATGATATTGGGGGGTAACATATTAACACAGATACTTGAGGAAAAACATAACTGCATTGGAGACAGTGAGCCTTCTCTGAATTACATTAATTCCAGAGATGAAAGGCTTGTCATATAAGGAGAGATTGAGCAGTTTAAGCCTATACTCCCCAGAGTTTACAAGGTTGAGGAGATTTAATTGAGGTCTATTAGATGCTGAAGGGGATCAACAAAGTAGATGTACAGTAGATGCTTCCACTTGTGGGGCAATCTAGAATGCGAAGTCACAGTTTTAAAAGGTAAGGGGTGGCAGATTCAAGACAGAGATGAAGACAGACTTTCAATTAGTATTGAGTTAATGGGTTAAGGGATCATTGGGAGCGAGCAGGAAAATGGAGTTGAGACTGATGTGAGATTAGCTATTTTTATATCAAATGATAGAGCAGGCTCAAGGGGTTGAGGTGCCTATTACTGCTCCTAGTTCTTATGTTCTGGATAAAGGATTGGTCACCAATAGGGAATTGGAAATAAATGCACCTTTTGGATTGGCAAACAGCAAGTGGTGGAATGTCACATGATGCAGTGTTGGATCCCCAACAATTTACAACAAATTGGACGAAAGTATTAATTGTATAGTAGTTACATTTGCTGATGACACCAAAGGAGGCAAGAAAGTAAGTTGTCAATAGTTGGTAGAGAGTCTGCAAAGGTACACAAATAAGTGAGTAAGTGAGCAAAAACCTGGCAGACTGAACGCAATGTCAAAAACCTGAACTTGTCCACTGTGGCAGGAAGTATACAAAAGCAGTGTTTGAATAGAGGGAGCTTGCAAAACCCAGAGGGAACTAGGTGTCCTGATATGTGAAACTCAATGTTAGTATGCAAACACACAAATGATTAGGAAAGCAAATGGAATGCTGGAATTTATTGCAAGCATTATGGCAAATAAAAGTAAATTTTATTGCAACTGTATAGAGCCGGCTATAGAACTGTTTGACAATTTTGGTTCGCTTATTAAAAAAAACGAAATTGCATTAGAAGCAGTTCCTGGAAGGTCAATTCGTCTTTTTCAGTTTTTAATTCGACTCATTCTTGGGATGAAGGGCTTATTTTATGATGATAGATTTTATACCAATTAGAATTTAGAAGAATGAGACGTGAACTTATAAGACACATAATATTTGAGGCGGCTTGACAGGGTAGATACAGGGAGGATGTTTCCTTCAGTGCAGGAGACAAGAACCAAGAGATACAGTTTAATAATAACAGGTCTCAGTCTTAAGGCGATGAGATCTTTTTCCTTTCATAAAACTGTTAGTATGTAGAATTATCTTCCCAATAAAGCAGTAGAGGCAGGGACATTTGAGTTTAAGGAAGAGCTAGACAGATATTAGATATAGTTATGAGAGGTAGACAGGGAAGTGCAACAAAGACTACAACCTGATCGACCACAATTATATCAAATGGCAGAACAGACACAAGGTGGCGAGTTTCCAATTCTCAGTCACCGATGTCCAATTTAAGATTCCTCATCTCACATTCAAACAACACTGACCAGAATAATGTGGCTATCAGAGATCCAAACTTTCTGCTGTATTCTCAATAACATTTGTTGTGACTTGCATCAGAGAGTCAAAACTTCATCTCATTCTGAAGCAACTGAAGAGATCTCTTGCAATGAATTATATACCTGTAAACAACATTAAAAATATTGCATTAAAAATAAATATTTAAAACATTTATATAATTATAAATAGAATAAATAACAAACTACAAACCTTTTTAATATCTGGTCTCTTATTCTTCTTTTCATTTAAACACTGACTTGCAGTTAAATACATTTTGTCAATTGTCACAGAGTCCCAGTCCTGCATTTTTTTATCAGTGTAATCCTCAATAGACATTTCTTCATCTTCAATTTCTTCTTTGATATCAAACTTTATGATTAAAAGGTAAAGTTAGAAAAATCAGAACTCATCTGGCAAACTTTTCAGTAAAGAAATCAAATTTGATGCTTATAAACATTGAATTTTGTAATCAATGAAATACAATGATTGATCAAGAGATCTAAATCCTAAAATTAACTCATTTTTGACAGTGTACTTTTGTTGTTGAATCTGATATCTTCGGCTGAAGGGGAAGAGACAAAGGGGGGTGTTGAGGGAGGATTGAAACTTTTTAAGTCTTCCCCAGCTAAATATCAATCACATCTAGTCGCATTGATACTCAGTTCAGTTTCACAAATGTATATATGAGAATGTTGCATTACCAGTAATTGTGGTTCACGAGATTCATCAACTGGTGGAAGTCCTGTTATTAATTCTAATAAGACCTTTGGTGCAACAAGAGGAACAGCACAGTTATTCATATTTTTCACAAGTTATCCTGAATATTTTAAAACAACAACAGCTCACAATACCTGTCAGTGAATCTGAAATTCCACTGGGGAGGAGGATGTCTGATCATATTTAGCCTGAAAGTGTGATCCCTGGTAAGTGGGGGTTCATGGTGACAGCCTTCATCAGTCAGTTCTACCTCTTCCTGTTGCCAAGTCCCGCAATCAGACAGGGTGCCTCGTTAGGGAACACCCAACGAGTGGCAAAACTGAAATGCTTTGGTGTGTCTTCTCAGAAGAGTAATCAAAAAAAGTAGAGCAGCAGTGTCTAAAAATTTGGATTTTACATACAGACTTAAAGCAAGAGATAGAGACAAGAAAGGGTTAACAGAGGAAGTTCCAGAATGTAGAGGAAGGGTCACCGGATCAGAAACATTAACTCAGATTCTTTTCTTCACAGATGCTGCCAGACCTGCTGAGCTTTTCCAGCAACTTGTGTTTTTGGTCCAGAATGTAGATCAAGACTGGGAACTTAAAACTAAAGAATATTCAACGTTTATGTAGGTTAGGAAAAAGAAGAAAAAGAAATTAATATTAAAAAATGAGCATTGGAAAGATTAACTGGACTGAAAAATTACAAATCTCAGGATCTCATGGTTAGCATGTATTGAAACAGATGGTGATAGAGATGGTGGATATGTTGGTTATCTTTTAAAAATTCTAATTCTGCAATGGTGCCTTCAAATTGGAAGGTTGCAAGTGTAACCCCTCTGTTGAAAGAGAGAAAATGAGGAATTACAGACCTGTTAGCAGCACTAGGGAAAATACTAAAATCTATTATAAAGGATGTGATTACTGGATATATAGAAAACAATTGCCTGACTCAGCAGAGTCAACATAGATTTACGAATTGAAAGTCATATCTGATAAACCTGATAACTTTCTTGAGGATGTTACTAACAGTCGATAAGAGGGGACTAGTGGATGCGATGTATTTGGATTTTCGGAAAGCTTTTGACAAAAAGTGACACATGTTAATAAACGAGACTAAAGCACATAGAATCAATAGTAATACTAGCACTGACTGAGGAATGGTTAACTGGCAAAAAGCAGAGAATAGAAATTAATAGGTCATTCTCAGGTTGGCAGGATTGACCAGTGGACTACAAAGATGAGTGCTTAGACCCCTAGCTGATCACAACCTATATCAATGATCTGGATGTGGGGACCAATTGTTAACTGTAAAACTACGTAAATTGTGAGAAGGATACACCGAGGTTTCAAAGGGACTTAAACAGGCTGAGGGAGTGGGCAAGAACGTGTGTTGAGACATTCATTATTGTGATTTTTATTTTTGGTTTGGAACTGAGAGCTGAATTTGAGATGTAAACTTTAAACAGCAGCTTGATTTTAGTTTTTTTAAGATAAAAGAGCAAACAAACTGATATTTTCTTATGAGAACTGACCTGGAAAGTTGGTCACAGGTTCGTAATTGTTTTAAGAATAAAACAACACATCATGGTGTCGAAGTGTCTATGGTCAAGAACTGGCAACTGTTGGATGTTGAATGGGTCAATCAAGGGTGGAACAGTGCTGGCCAGCCAGTCACAAAACATTGAAAAATGCAGGAAAACTATAGTTTGAATTGGTTTAGTCTGGGTTTTGGGCAATAAGCAGTTTGGCTGTGAAAGCTGCAGGACAGAGTTTTTGGTTGCTTTCTAGTTATCCTGCAGTTCAAGATTTATTGAATGGTTTGAGAAAAGAATCCCAGTTATAAGAAATAAGTGAATATTCCTTGGAGCCTACTGGAAGCTGTCTACATTAACGGCTGACTTCAGAATTCAAGCTCCTGAGTGTTGTTGGAGATGCACTCATCTAGGCAAGTGGGGAGCATCACAGTTGAGTTGGCTGACCTCCAACAACCACAATCATAATGAGACATGACCTCATAGAAACTTACAAAATTCTTAAAGGGATAGACAGAGTAGATACAGTAAAGATATTTCCTCCGGCTGTTGCGTATACAACCAGGTAACACGGTCTCAGAATTAAAGTCAAACAATTTAGCATTGAGATGACTTGGAACTTTTTCCACTTGCCTCAGAAATTTTGTAACTCAAAGTGATGTGGATTTCCAGTTATTAAGTACGTTCAAGACGGAGTCTGATTGATGTTATTAAGCTGAAATCTAACGATATGGGAACGTGGGAAAATTGAGAGATGGATGACAAGCTATGATCTAAAACAGCAGAGTAGGGTTGAAGAGCTGAATTGCCTATCCTAGTCCTATATTCCAAGGCAATTACAATTGTGATTCCCAACAGCAAGGAGATGGAAAAGTGACGACTGCAGTGAACTAGTGGAATGTAGAGATGAATACAATTGAGGGTTTTTGGAGCAGGAAGGCAAAAATAGGAGCAGAAACAGCAGAAATTGTGGTCTTTTTCATGATGAGTAAATGGAGTTGGAACTTCAGTTCAAGATTGAACATGACAGCAGAATTGCAAATAATCAGGTTCAGCCTGAGGCATGGTCAAAATGACAAGGGTACTGAATTTGTAGTAAGGCTGAATATAATTGCTTCAGACTTCTCAATGTTCACTTGGAACAAATTACAGTCAGTCTTAAGATGATTGAGGCTCAGAGCTCATTAGTGTGCTGACCCTATGTGTCTGAATAACGTAACAAAGGGACAGCTGTTGATAAGGAAGAGGACAACCCAAAAATTGATCTTTGGAGATCTCCAGAGGTAACAATGCAGCAGTGGGAAAAGAAGCAAGGGCTTGGATTGTACAGTTGTATGATCAGATGGGTGTGGTTGAAAATAAGCAAGAGTGATCCAGTAACAAAAGATGAAAGGAGTAGAAGAGGATGTTGTTGATAATTGGGTTAAGTGCAGTATGGAGTACAAGGTATAATTCACCATAGTCAGTTTGATCGTTTTCTCTATTTTTTTCATGGAATATAGGTGTCACTGGCGTGGACAGCAGGTACTGCCCATCCCTAATTGCCCAGAGGGCAGTTAAGAGTCAACCACACTGCTGAGAGGCTGGAGTCACACGTATTGGGTAAGAATGACAGATTTCCTTTCCTAAAGGACATTAGTGAACTAGTTTTTTTTAATGACACAATGAACAGTGGTTATATAGTCACTATCAGGCTAGCTTATTTTTCATTCCTGAATTCAAAGTTCACCGTCTGCCATGGTGGGATTTGAACCTATGTTTGCAGAACATTAGCCTGGGTCTCTGGATGATTAGTTCAGTGACATTATTACTATGCCACTGGCGCCCCTCAGTCATTTTGTTGTAACTTACATTGAATGTGGTTCTAAAACTCCATTTTTACTTAGTGCCAGTAGTCACTATTGAGTGAATATAAAATTAACACAGATAGAACATGTGGGTTTCCTGACTTTTTCCAGAGATATTTAGGATGGGACTCCAGCCCAAATTCCTGGGTTGAGGGTTATGACTGCCCCAACAGCCTGCCAAAGGCCCTCAGCGAAGGGCAAGGGAAAATCTATTCATATACATTTAAAGTTTATAAATAACTTCAGTTTTCTGAGACATATACTCTTCTCCAGTTAGCAAAACTGTTAAAGTTGACTCATTCAATCTCAGGAGAAATATCAGTATTACTTACAATGCCAAAGCTAAAAACATCTGACTTTGGAGTAATCTCCCCACGCATTGCCTCTGGTGCCATGTATGCAGTTGTACCGACAATTTTCTCAGTCAACATTGTTTGTGTTAAACATGATGATGCTCGAGTAAGACCAAAGTCTGAAATCTTAGGAACAAACAGACCATCCAACAAGATGTTTGCACTGAAAAACAAAGTGACCAGCATACAATCTTTAAGGAGCTAAACTGTATGTAAGGACAGGTTGCGGTCTTGGCATTTGTGTATGTTATACCAGCTTCTTAGTTCATATTCCGTGTTCATTGTATTATATTAAATACTTTGTCTCAGAAAGAAATGTGAAATGGAAGCTTCAATGCCGAAAATTAAATATTGTTAAAATTATATTGTTTTTTCCCCACAATCTTTAGTAGAGTGTCAACTAGATGCATGAAAAAATTCACTGTGATGCAAGGGTCCTAATAATCAATAACTTATTTAAGCTATTTGACTTTTGTATTATGCACGATTACTAGAATTAGAATTCATTTTTAGTACAGAACTGGAGTATTGCTGCAAAAAAACTTTTCATCTTGCATTCATCAGGACAATTTGCAAGAAATATCAAAAGGGAGAACAAGAATGATACTGTATGTGTGGAGAGTGCTGATTGGTTGGCAAGTGGCCTTTGAATGTAGACAAAAGTGTTGCCATGGAGAACTATTCATTTAATGATAATTGACAGTTAACTGCCAAACTTTGTTTACATTTTAAACAAAGCAGGTTGACTCTAATCAATGATAGTAGGAACTGCAGATGCTGGAGAATCCGAGACAACAAGGTGCAGGGCTGGATGAACACAGCAGGCCAAGCAGCATCAT